TTTCTAAGATGTTTGTTTTTATGTTTGCCTGAAAACACCCACAAACACAATAGTGCACCCAGGAAATAGGCTGAAATGAATAATAGAAGAATAATTCAATCCAAGTTGGTGCAAAGGGATTGTAAATTGTGTGTGCAGGTAATATTGTTAGATGCTAGATAATGCGATCTCGGTGGCTAAATGTTGAGCTTTGGGCAAAAAAGGTGCTGCATGTATTGTCGTGTAACACCAGACTCCTCTCTCTCTCATCTTCTCTGCACTCAATCATTTGCGTGCAGATTTTGGTCTTTGTGCATATGAGGTTCTCCTTGTGTTTTGCAGAAAAAAATAGCAAAAAACCTCCTGTCTTTTCAGTGCATGGTGAGCTACAAAGACATGAGGTCTCATGTCACAATTCAGGTTGTTTGCGCTAAGTTTCCTCTCACACACACACACATGTTGTATAGCCCTGTGAATGTTACAGAAAATAACATGAATCCTGCTTACCTGATGTTGCCTTTGGGCTCTTCCACAGAAGACTGTTATTTGCCCTCTGGCCCACACATGGTGACCAAGCTCTCGACATCAGTGATGATCCTTAACATGATGGCTGAAATTGCAAAAGTGTTTGTGAAACTAGTCATAAAAAAAAAAAAAAAAAATGTTTCCAGGGATCCGAATAAAGCAGGTGTGGTGGTAGTGCTGTAGAGGTCCACAGAGAGATTAACTTGAAACAGAAATCAGCCAAATTTAAAAAAGGTATTGTGCATTTTATGGATTGAATTACAAACTTTTTTGATCATTTTGCACACATACTTTATGTGCATTTGCACTAAATATCCACATCTATATGTTTTTCTTTATTTTTTTAATTTGATATAGAACTAAAATATGACACACTGTTAGGCTTTTCATCGCCACTTTACGGTAACATACTGGCGTCACTGTTGCCAGCGTCATACCATGACGCCGTGTTACGGTAGCTTACCGTTCTGCAGGATGATACCGTTTTTTGCTGGTGTGGTATAATACTCTTGGACACATTATGGTAACGCACCCGTAGCCTTTTTTTACGGTATTTCACTGGCGACAGTGACGCTAGTGAGATACCGTTATGTCGTTATGTCGTAAATTACGTCAACAAAGTAACATCATACTGTGATTAAGAAATTGGTATACTACCGTTTATTCACGGTATGTCACTGTAAGCCCGCTGCAAGGTAATAAACTGCAATATATTAACCAGTAACTTACCGTTATCACGCATCATCAGTACCAAAAATATTCATCTCTGCTAGAGGATACCGTGTCCCAACAGGCGGTCGTTTGCTGTTTAACAGGTCGCAATTTACCGTAATTTCAGTTAACAGTAACATACTGTAAGAGACTGGAGGGTTCCAAAAAAATTGGATGGATGGATGGATGGATGGATGGATGGATGGATGGATGGATGGATAGATAGACACTCACACACAAAATATAATTCATGTGCTTTACACCACTTTATTTCAATTCTGATTTTTCCCTGCTGAAATACACATTTCCAAAATCAAAAACTGAAAAGAACTGAAAACATATTTTCATTGAGGAAGCATTTGTTTT